GAGAGATACATACAGGGAGCTTTGGCAAATCAAATATTCCATTTAATAACGAGTTATGGATGCATTGTGCCCAATTGCCAATTTTCAAAACTCAAGATATATAATAAAATGTCTATAATGCTAAACCACATTAGACATAATGTTTCTTGAAGATGCAGGGTCTGCGGTGAATCACAGATATGACTGTACTGGAGATACACAGACAGATTCACAGAGCTCTACTGGAGACAGGAAACTGCACACATCCGTCTTTGCTGCAGGCATTTTGATTCACTCATCCGCTATGTTTTCCATATGCGGTTGTCTACTCAACCCCAAATGACATCTGTCTGCCTGGCTGTTGGTGGCCTGAGCTGGTTTTAGGGCAGAGAGGCATGCTAAGGTCAGAATGGAGGCCTATGGTAACCAATCAGGTAGTAGGTGCTCAATAAAGTCAAGTTCTCTACCTCCCTTTCCAGCTTCTCCCTACATTTTTAATTTCAACTCCCGTGAGAGAGATTTTTTTGGATCTCTAAAGTGAACTGAAAGACAGAGCCCACTTGCGTTGCCATAGCAGCCATGGGGCTGAAAAAGATCTGGGTCCCAAGTCAGATTCACCTGCCCTCCCTCCATAAAAGCCATCACACATTGGTCCCACCAGGCTTGAATGGGAGACAGAGGTTCCTTCTTCCCTGCAAAGGACCCTCCACAGGCCTTTGGAATCTTTCACTTAAAGCACAGGGCAAGTGTGAGGTCGTGGTTTCAACCACCAAGCTGTGACTCAAGTCTTCTGGAGGGACCATTTTTCTGAACTGCTGAGTTTACCTTGGGTTAAGTCCAGTGGCTTTGCCCGTAGGATACATAAAACTCCTGACACAGCCAACTCCAGCAAACTCTCAGAATCCAATTAGTAAGTAAATTTCATTGTAATTTAAGGAAAAGCCACTACCCTTGCTATTTACCTTCACACTGAAATAGCAAATGATACTGTGGGAACTTTGAAGCATATCACTGAACAGACCATCAGCAAAAGGCAGAATTGCCTCTTCCAGGACTCCTCTGCCCTCTGAGATTGAAATTTGGGGGGATGCATTTGGAAATGATTTTTTTTCCAGTAATGACAACATTCAGCACCACATAAGAAATGAAATTGAAGCATTGATCTTAATCTTCAAATATAGGATAGCTCCAATATTAAAATTAACATATAAATTTAGCATCCATCTTATTTTCGACTCACTTCTGCTGAGTAAATGCACATATAAAGAATGAATCACTGAAACAGTATGCAGTGAAATCAAGTTCATTTTTCAAATATGTCAGTTCGAATGCAGCCAGTGGCTGTTGTCTGGGCACCCAACAAATGTTCCCAAGATGCACCCCCCATTGCCTCCCACTAATCTAGCCATAGTACAACCTGGGGACCTTGGAGATAAGTCCCTGATAAGCAAACCCAGTATTATGTGGCTGCATATCCCTTCTTATGGTGCAACTTCTTTTTATAAATTGTGAATATTTCTAGGCTCTTAAAAGCCTGCCATTTAACTGTAACAGCTGGACCAGAGGTCCACAATCACTGCCCCTTTTCCTGTGTACCTGTTGTCTCTCCACGTTGCTCTACTATTAATTTCAACCATAGCCATATACCTGGCTAACAAATACCTTGCTTCTCAACACATCGGTGAAACTACTTTTGTTTTTTGCGTCATCAAGAGTGCTGATATTGCACAGTGCGATATCACCTCACACCAATTAGAATGGCTATTATCAAGAAGACAAAAAACAAGGGTTGGCAAGGCTCTGGAGAAAAGGGCACCCTTGTGCACTATTGGTGGCATGTAAACTGCTGCAGTCACTATGGAAAACAGTATGGAGGTTCCTCAAAAAATGAAAATAGAACTGCAACATGACCCAGCAATCCCCCTTCTGAGTATATATCCAAAGAAAATGAAATCACTATCTGGAAGAGATATCTGCACCTCCGTGGTTCACGGCAGTATTTTTCCCAATAGTCAAGATATGGAAACAACCAAAATATCCATGGATGAATAAAGAAAGGAATGTTTTTTACTAAGTGAAATAGGCCAGTCACAGAAAGGCAAATACTGTGTGATTTCACTTATACATGGAATCTAAAAAGCCAGTCACAGAAACAGACAGAATGACGGTTGCCTGGAGCTGAGGGGTGGGGGAAATGGAGAGATGTTTGTTAAAGGGCACAAACCTCCAGTTGTAAAATAAGTAAGTTCTGGGGATGTAATGGACAGTCTGGTGACTACAGGTAACAATATTATATTGTATAACTGAAATTTGCTGAGTGCGCAGATCTAAAATGTTCTCACCACCAAAAAAAGGTAATTATGTGATGTGATGGATACGTTAACTAACCTTATTGTGGTCATTTCACAATATATACATACTCAAATCATCACATTGTACACCTTACACATACACAATGTTATATGTCAATTATATCTCAATAAAGCTGGGGGGTGAAGATTGTTGATATTTCTTAAAACTCAAAGCTCCAGGGCAAAGTCTACCTCCAGGAGTCACGAGTAAACTGGGAATCATGAAATCGTGAAGGAGCAACAGCAGCACTGAAAAGCCTGAGCAGTTTTACGCAGCCCTCCCCTTGGGGAAAAGGGTAGCATGTTTATGCTAATATCTGGCCCTTTCCCAGTCAGAAGCTTCCAGAAACAGGCCTTTCTGATCCCAAATGCGTACTCAGTCTCATCATTAACACTGAAGCTAAAATTATTGGAACTGGAACTAGGGCTTGTACTAAGGCTGCATGGAAGGCCAACTAGAAACCGAGCAGCAGAGTCCGCGTCCCTGAGCTCTTCCACTGGGCGCAGAGCTTAGGAGAAAACCCAAGGATGTGACGCAGAGTGAGGTGGTCCTCAGGCCTCGCTTAGTGAGTTCAAGTATTACCTGGAGAGGACGATAAAAAATACAGGTGCTCAGGCTACCAAGGACTCTGAACGCGGCACGCGGGGCCCGGGAATCTAAACCAGAAGTCAAGCGTCGGGTGCCTGGGCCACGCTTTGAGACAAACTGCTGTAGAACGTGAGTAACCCACCCACATACATCTCAGATGGACAAAGCCTTTCCTCTAGAACTTGTAGTTGGCAGGTCCTCACTAGCCGGGGAGAGAGGCACTGCGGTTCAATGTGGATTAAGTTGCAGTTTAATGTGACTTAACTTCCTACACAGCTGGCTTGACTCAATTGCAAGTGGAGGTCCACGCACCCAGGTATCTTGTCTCTGTGACAGATGCGATTTAACTAGGAGTTGGTTGATTTTCTCCCTCTTTTCATCCAGATGTTCAGCTTCATGTGAAAGAGGAACCGTGTGCCCAGCGGCAGAGGAGTGTCTGTTTCCCTTGAATCCTACATGCCTTCGCAGGACGGTCTCTGAGAGCTGAGCTAGATTCTACCTTCACCAGAGGTGGCTCAGCCGTCAGGACTACAGAGGAAACAAGACTGAACGCTGGGAGCTAGTTGTAGGATCTTAACAACCAATCTCTCCTTTCTGACCCCCGACCACGCTTATCCCACCACAGTAAACATTTCTTGCTGCAGAAGATTATATTGATCATTCCATTTTGCTGGCCACTGTAAAACAGTCAGTGGTTTTGGTGATCTGTGGGCAAAATCGAGCTGTAAGAACGCTGTATCTTAAGCCAAGTTTTGCTTCATCCAGATCATTCAACCTACAGAAGTACAGCTGAAGACTCTGTAGCACCATCAGCTCCCATGAGATGTTATCATTGTTGCTTGTCAAATAAATGTAGGTAAGCTTTTGAGATGAAGAAACCTCTGAAAATACATTTGTCCTAGGTAGGCCCAGACATCAGCCCATCACCACCACCTAAAAAGTCCTGAAAGTGTGTCTTTAGAATCAGGGTGTGTCCAAGTATTCCTCTCTACTTCTCACATCGGGCCTTTACGTAAACACTAGTGTCTAAATATAACTCTAACAACTAATCGTGTTTACTTTTAAACACTCTGATACGTAGCTATGTCAATTAAATACACATTAGTCTAACTAATAATGAACTTTTCCCCCTCAAAGATATCTCATTCCAAAAGTGCCCATCAGAAATAAAAGTAAGATGGTTCCCTTGTTTTAAATATCTTTGTGCTCCTGGGGTGGGGTCAGCTCCTGTCCCCCAGCTGAGGGGCCTCTCAGGCTGAGGAGTTGCCCTTCTCCCTCCCAGACTGAAGACCCTTCAGGACATTCTGGCACTGGGAGCTCTCTCTACATCGCTGTCATGCAGAGGCTTTTATTTATTGCTTATTTACTTTCCTTCCCACGTTGGTTTGTCTGACCTAAGCAGTGCTCTTTCCTTTTGAGCACTCTGAGGAATGAAAACAGGAGTGGTCGGCAGGCACTACTGATTATCGTTCAAAACCCCACTTTAAAAACATCTGAGCAAGACGTTTGCCATATGCAGCACCCCAAAATGCTCTTAAAATGAAAGGGGGGAAAGCCCTGGTTTTCAGTGTTTTGTGGTGGTCATCTGCTCCAAGTGACGACACGGGAATCCCTTCTACATCCTGAACGCAAAGCTACTGAACTCAACAGGACTAACAGTTCTCGTGTGCTCAGTGCTTCCTCTGTCCGGGGCTGTGCTAACACTTCACTTACTTCCCACGCTGCAGACTGTCTCGTTTCCACTTTGTTTTCATCGGGTCTATTACCACCCCTGCTTATCTTGGACTCACGGGCAGGTAACTTGACAATAACGTACAAGGCGCATTCTCTTACACATAGTAGGCACTCAGTGTCTGTTCAGGAAATCAATGAATGGATAGAGGGACTGAGTTAACTCTATTCTTGAACAATAATTTCTCTTTCTGATTGCAGCCCCAAAACTTTGTCGTGCGTGTTTCTCAAGTAGTGTCTCATTTAACTGACACCTGGATTTGGGATCCATGCACTAATAAGTGGCTTTTACATCAGGTTTCTATTTTTAGAGATCCTCTTTCCACAAGCAGAAATGACATAACCCAAAATCATCTCCTTAGTTTATTTCTTCTAGAGTCCTTAGCATGCTACATTAACCTGACAAAGCTTAATCTTGTGTTCATTTCACAATACATTTCATGCAGTTCACAGCTGTGATTGGTTTTACATTGACATTACACATGTTTCGACTCAGCCATGTGAAAAGAATAATTCTTAATGGAGTTTGTCTCTGAAAGCTGTCCAAGCTTAAATAAGCGTGTGAGCAGTTCACTCTATTCTTAAGTGCAGTCTCTCTTTAAAATGCAAGAAGGATTTTCAGTGTTAAGAATATAATGTCCCTGTTTATAGTCCATTTGCAATCGAACTACTTCCTTTAGGTTTCGCATATCCTGAGGAATCCTCTTTCACAAAACTGCATTCAAGTACACGATCTTATTGAACATTCCAGGTCGAGTTTAGGCGCAAGGCTGACCTTCAGCGTTACATCCCCAAATAAATCTCCCGTGGACCCAGCTTTCCCAAGACTATTCTTAGCATTAGACTCTCTTTTACAATAAACATTCAGCACTAAAGCCACAGAGCAGAGCTATTTGGCATTTTCCAGTGAAGTGCAAGAAATTAAATAAGTTATGTGTTTATTGCTAAGGTATAGAATCAAGCACAGTCACTTTGTCAAACAGAAGGAAAAGGTATACACAGGATGTAGCCTCTCCTCAGGGGACCCTCCCCCCAGGGTTCAGATGCACAGAACATGTCACCTGGTCACCTCCCATCCGGTACCACTTTAAGATGATGTGTTGAGTATTCTAGAGTCTGAGGAGTCAGACCTCTCGTCATAGTCGTCCTCGGTGTAGATGGGCTGCTTGGACACAACCGGACACCCATCGTCGGGGATGGAGATCCGAGGGTCTTCGGGGGTGCGAGTGGGGAGAACAGGCGAGCTCCTGAAGACGCCGGTAGAGTTACTGGGGAAAGGGCTGACGTACTGGGACCTCAGCTGGTACTGCTGCTGCAGAGTCATGGTGTTCCACAGGGTGACGTCATTGGGCAGAAAGGGGCTCGACTGGTTTCTTGCCAGAGTATTCCTCAGCATGAGCGGGTACCTGGGCGGCTGGGGGAAAGGGTGCTGCAGGGGCACGGCCAAGGGGTTGGGGACAACGTTACTGGAGTCGGCAGAAAACCTCAAAGTGTCTGGGACTCTGAAGGCCGATCCCACGGACCACTTGGAGGAGGAGATGGGGTAGGAGCTCAAGGTGTGTTCAAAGATGTGCCCATTGGAGGGCAGCACCAGGCCCTCGGGCTCCGCTGCAGTTCGGTCGGCGGCCGAGACCGAGGACCGGCTGGAGAGCAGGACCTCCACGGCGCTCACCAGGTCCCCCCCGCACCCCTTCAGGATCAGCTCAAGCACCGTGGGCTTCTGGTTGGGGAAAATTTTTTTTAACACTTCCAGAGGGGGTCTGTTGGCTTTCAGGCTGAAGGGCAGAGAGACGGTCCCTGAGGGGCCCTCGATCAGCAGGTGATTCTGTTCCCCGTGGTACTTGGGGCTATCGGAGCGGCTGTCGGAGCTGCCCCCGTTTTTCTGGACTGCATACCCACCTTCATCCACCGACACTATCTCGGGGCTCTCTGGGGTGAAGCAGCCCTTACTTTTTGCAACATCCGGGGAGCTCCTCTGGTCGGCGTCTTTGTCGCTGAAGGTCTCTGCGTTGTCTGCCATGCTGCTGTCCCCAAGTCGCTCTTCAGTCAAATCTGAAAAGCAGAGAACAGCTGGGTTAATCCTCTCCTGGTGCGTAAAGAGGAGCAGATGTGCTCAGGAGAGAGTCCGCATGGGCTTTCTGAAAGGAAACATACTGCAAGCCTTAAAAAAAAAAAAAAAAAAAAGGAAATCCGAACTATGTCATTGGCAAATAGCAAAAAACAAAGAACTCTGAGTACAAAGATCTAGAAACCAGAGTGATTTCAGAATGATGTGGAGGAAAGCTTGCCTTACACACAAAGGGCAACATGACACCTAGACCCACAGCTGTGGCTCCTTGCAGTACAGTCTAAATAGGGACCCTCCGTGGGGCTGGGGATAAGCACGGCCCAAGAAAGAACAGGAAAGCGAGCTCAGGCTTTCCTTCTGGTTCTTCTGCAAATGAGGTGGCCAGTGGAATCTAAGGCCATCATCGGCTGGCACGTAACTCACATGCTGCGGGAAACTTTAATATTTTAAATTCCTTTTCCCATACGTAGATTTCTTATTGATTATGACTTGTGAAGTGGGCGTCAGTATGTTTCAACAGGACACCTGGAACAATAGCCAGCTGACATAACTGCGGGAGAAAGGACGCAGCCTCCATGCGTTGTGATCTGTCTTTAACAGCCACCGGGGCCTGGAGGCGTGGTTCTGTAACTTGCGTTAGGAGGCAGGCAAAAGCAGCTGCGCATTCTGGACGGTGGGCAGGTTGGGAGAGGGAGGAAGAGACCTGAGAGGGCTCACGAAGCTGCGCCCGGAATGTGACCCATCCTTGAGACAACGCGTCCGTAGCTCCAGGATCCAGGGTGCAAGAGGGAGATGCTTTTTCAGGAACTGTTTTATCAATAAAGTGCATGGAAAGGACTGAAAGAGACCTTCTTGAATTGTTTTAAAAGAAGAGAGAAAAAAAGCTTCCCAAATAAATCAGAGATTTGCTGTGAAGTAAGCCAGTTGCAAATTTAACATTTAGACCTACGACATTACCCCCCAGATGGGCTAGTATTACGATGCTAACAGGACAGAAAAGAGAAGGAAAGACTGGTTTGCTCGCAGAAGTAAATTCTAACAGGCCTTTATAATAAAGGGACATATTCTTTATTAATAAGCTACACACAGTGGATTTTTTTCTGTCTTAAAACATGGACTGGCAGGGTCTACTCAAAGCCAAAGTAACTGATCTAAAGATGAAAATTATTAATGACCCACTTGTCAGGCTGTACACAATCGGTCTGCCTGTGTTTTCTCCCTCCCGGCCTGAATAGCCTCATTGTTGCCCTCTCCGTGGGCACACCTGATTATGTGTAGATAGCCAGTTGGTGAAATTTCATCAAAGCAGCTTCTAAAATCCGTCTCCTCCTATTTGTTGTTGTTTATTTTAAAAGCCTTAAACAAAGGCCCATTTACAAGCATTCTTCTAATAGAGGCTTAAACATAACTGAAAAACAAAACTTTGTTTCTTCACAAAGCAATAAATATGTGCCAAGCATAAATACTTTAAAAATATTATCAAATTAGATCAGTGCAACTTTCACTCATAAATCTGATATGAATTCACACTTACCTCAAATTTGCATTTTAAGTAAACTGCTTCTTTTTCCAATATAAAATATAAGATTTCTATATGGAGTTCATTCGTAGCCTGCACATACTAAGCCATCTCTGCTTTCTATAACAAAAGACCTATCTTTGAAAAAGAAATCTGACATATTCTCTCCTCCAACTTCCTAGGACTGGAGACCCAGCTTTCATCTCCTGAGTTAATGTGGTACTTGTACTTCATCCAGAAGAGAAAACCACCACCAAACAAAGCTTCTATAAATTCACATTCTAGTCAGCCAGGCCTATCTAAGTTTTCCTGACTCATGACCCCTTGCATGCCTCTGGGCTGTCAGTGTATGAGACACTGGAAAATGAGTGGACGGTGACAGTGTGTTAACTCAGCACCGAACTGAACGCACAATTGGATTTTGGCCCCTGCTCATCAGAGCTTGGAAGAAAAGTCAAGTGCTCTCCCTGAGCAAATGTGAACATAAAAATATTAGGCACTTCTAAGCAGTTTTCTTTTTTCTTTAACTTTAGCTTTCGTTATCTGTTATTACCAGGTATTTGTATCCCTGTAATACACAAGATACTGAAGACACAGAATAGATAGTAAAATAAACCAGGAAGTATGAGGCTTGCCTCTAACTCCTGGAACTTATTATGAAGTTGGGGAGATAAGACGCATGTGCAGGGGGGAAAGCAAACACATCCAGGCAGGCTTGCTAAGCATCGCATGTAACGCTCACGTGCGCAAATGTTCACGGTAGCAGCATCCACAAGAGCCAAAAGGTGGATGCGACCCAAGTGTCCACAGATGGATAAATAAAAACAGGAAATTTTTCAGCCTCAGAAAGGAAGGGAATTCTGACACACGCTACAATATGCTAAATGACATAAGCCAGTCAGTCACAAAAGGACCAATATTCTATGATTCTACTTAGATGAGGTACCTAGAATAGGCATATTCATAGAGACAGAAAACAGAATGGTGGTGACCAAGGGCTGGGGTGAAAGGGAATAGTGTCTTATTGTTTAATGGGTACAGTTTCTGTTTGGGAAGATGGGGAAGTTCCAGAACAGACAGTGGTGACAGCTGCACACTGTGAATGTACTAATGCCACTACATTACACCCCAAAAATGGTTAAAATAGTAAGCTTTGTTATGTATATTTTGGCACAATAAAAAAGAAAGAAATATGACACCCGGTATCCTGGCGATATAGAGGATGGTAAGATTTTTTTTAAGTGAGAGAAACAACTGGTTCTTCTAGAAAATAAAGGGCGTATAAGTATTGCTAAAAAGCTCAAAACTGGGCTGTTTTTAAAAGAAATGTGTGGCCCTAAAAACAGCTTCCTATTTTGAAAGGTAAATTTTGCCAACCCTGAGTTTGAAACATTGACATCAGAGTAAAAGGCTCTGAGGTCTATCCACCAAATGCACTCTTACACAGAACGCTTCAGGCTCCAGAAAAAAGCGATTCAAAGGAGGTTAGCCAAAGGGGAACCAGGGAATTATATTCTGGCTAATCTGACGTATCTACCATTTTGAAAATATAGTATTTTTTTCCAAGATGACAAAGGATGCACCGTCCCAATCAACTGGATAGGGACTGGCAGGAGTGCACGTCTATGACATTATAAAATTCCACTGCTCTACCTATATTCCTGTTCTGCGGAATAGGCCACAGTGGAATCTTACATGGGTGCCACCTTGTTCCCCAACTGTGCCCCCCAGGCTGCGGAAGCCTGGTTCTTATTTCCCCGTGCTACCCTGTGCCCCTGCCGTCAGTGGTGGTGGGCTGTGCGGCTGCTTCCACTCTCACGCTCCTGGGCTGATCCTCTCCAACTGGGAGTCCGGGCTGTGGCGACAAGGTGAGAGAAGCTAAGATGTCACAGGAATCAAATCTAGAAACTCAGAACATTCCACCAACCGAGTTCAGCACTGCTGATATACTGTGTTCCAAGGGAAGACGGAAGACCTTGAAAGAAGGAATGAGAGGGACGCACCTACGGTGTTTCTACACCTGAGCAGCACAGAGATGCCTGCTATGGGGTGCGGGGTGAGCACAATCCCAATCCACAGCCAAGGCCATTGGGGTTTTAACTGGGCAAGGGAAGACCAGCCTCTCACCCTGCACCAAGAGGAACTCCTCGCCCAGCAATAATTTCTGAAAGCAGAATATACAGTCCCTGCAATTTTGTGGCACTGTGGTGTCTACTGGTTGCATTGTTGTACCTAAACTAGATGTATTGTAAATTATTCTATTATAAGCAGATTTTCACAAGTAATTAGAGAGGGTGAGTTGTGAGTACAGTGATAAAGTGTAATTTAATAACCGGTGTTTCTTTACATCTACAGATTTTTTTCCTAAATGAACTTTATAAATTGTTCATGTTGGTTTAAAACACAAAGGCCTCTCTTGATATAGAAATGTGAAACTGCCAACTAATAAAATGAAAAGGAAACTACTCCCCAAATGTTTTACCCTCTTTTTCTTGAAAGTGACACCCTACTTCCTAGAACACAAAGAGTAAGAGTATGTTTCAACTGATAATATTTTAACCCCTAGTATATGGGTATAGGAAGCCAAAACTACTAGACAAAAAGTGAAAATAAATCAATTTCATCTGATATTACAAACCACCTATTCAAAGTGATAGGTGTTTCTGATGCTTAAACATCTAGACATTTTTAAAATCTTACTAAATGTTCACTCTTTGATTTCATATTTTTTGTGATGTAGAAACACAGCCACCCCTAAAATAAAATTTTCACTATGGTAAAGGTTTTTAAAAGATGATATTCAATTAAGAGGAACAGTTTTAAATGGATAATAATGATATATATATTATGTATATAACACTATATATATATGTGTGTGTATATATATATATATGTATACCATAAGATAGCTACAAAACTTTGAGAGAAAACGAACACTCCCACAGAAGTGACTTCCAATCTAAAATTACAGTTCCCAAATCTAACTTTCTCTACAGGATTTTTTTCATATGAAAATGAAGTTAAAAAAAAAATCTAGATATTCATTTCAAATATTTTGAGAGAGCCTATCCCATATGTGAAACATTCTGCTCAAGAATATAAACATAAAAAATCTTCCTGACTTAAATGTGGTGGGTCTGATCCGTATTATCCAATTATATCTACAAAAACAAAATACACCTTACATCTAGAATGAAAACACAAAAACACTGACATAGTGAGAGGACTGCTTCTTAGCGCAAGTCACTGGACTTTTTTTTCTTTTGAAATCACGTCAGGCATTTTGAAACATGGACTGTCATGTCCTCAGCTGTTCACTTGAGCACTGGGGAACATACCTCTAAATAACTGTTCCCAATGGAACATTTTCAAAGCACACACACCTTATAGCAATGGTAGGGAAGGAACCCCAGGCAGGACCAGGACTGGCTTCCAGCAGAGCTGACTGCCCAGTCAGAATTC